CACCCCCTCCTTAAGAACCAGATCACAGCTGGCTCCGGTGGCTCATGCTATCTACTCAGGAGGCTAAGATCTGAGAATGACAGTTCAAAGCCAGCTTGGGAAGGAAAGTCCAGGAAACTCTTATCACCAGAAAACCAGAAGTGGCGCTGTGGCTCAAGTGGTAGAGCACTCGCCTTGAGCTGAAGAGCTGAGGGACAACGCCCAGGCCCAGAGTTCAGGCCCCCTGACCAAACAACAACAACTTAGCAGCCCAAACCTTATGCCATCATACTTTGCCATCCCAGGATTCCTCTCAGGAAGACAGAACTGTGGGAAGGTCTTTGGCCCTACTGTTTTATCAACTCTATTCCAGATGGTTTGGCCTATGAAAAAAAAAAGTGTGCCAGCCTACAGAAGGGGCATCAGACCAGCCAGTGTTAGATTAGAGCAAAAGCAACTCTACCCCTAAGAGACCAGGAAAGAAAAAAACAGCTTTGAAAGCCAGAACACACTCACAAGCTTCCCTCCCTGGAACACACACACACACACACACACACACACACACACACACACACAAGCACTTTCTCCCAAGGCAAAGGTAGAACCCAGGGCACAGTCCCTGATTTCTGATGCTGGCTCTGGGCTGGTGGCTGGGTTTGGTGGCAGCTGCCCTGCCCTCCCCCTTCTCGGACATCGCACAGCTCTGCTTTCCAGGCGTCGCTTCTATTTTAAAACACCCTGGAAGCTGGGCCATCACCAGCAGCACGGCCTTCCATGAGACTCAGAAGAATGTTTTGGACTCTGGGCAGTCTGCCTATCCACCCATGGGGCTAAAGGGAGAATGCTTGGACTGTCAGTTAATACACCAGGCTTTAGGGTCCAGGCGTAAAAGGACTCTCCTGCCTGACCTCAGGTTCCCTGGAGTCCCCCTGCCTAGCTTGGCCCCCCTTGGGGTTAACACCAACAGCAATCCAGGAATCAGGAGAACCTGAGTCCCAATCCTATCATACCACTCCAGTCATAACCTCTCTGCACCTCCTTTTCCTTCAGCTCTAACACAAGAAAGAGGCCTTGGCTCAGAGTCCTAGAGGATAATATCAATTCCTCAATAGCAAGCACACAGCCATGCATGCTGATACACAGCAGGCCCATACACCCAGCTAGGTTTTCATCTTATAGATGTACAATCTATCATCTGTGTTCTTTTGTGTTGTGAGCCTAGAGATCCAACTCAACACTCCGTCCATGTTCAGCCGGCACCCTACCACTGAGTTACTCCCGCCCCCAGCCTGCCTTCTGCATATTTCTTATGAGAATAATGGCTGCAAAGCACAGTACCCAAAAGTCACCCTGAACCACAGGGTCCAGAGTCCATCCGGTCCATAAAGAAAGCACTGTTTGGCTGACTGCTGTCCAGTCAGGTGGTAGAAGGCCTCCCACCTCAGCACGACAGTCCTCACCACCTACAGGGCAAATCCACTGAGCACTGTCCACTGCCAGCTAGCCAACGCCAGGCACCCTGAAGAGCAATTTCTCCTTTCCAAAGGCATTCACAGGTATTAGCTCCTGAAAACAGAGCGAGTGACTGCAGTATGAGAACACCAGTAACGGATAGTCAGGGAGGACCCAGCCCTACTACCACCCATCCACCTATCCAACACCTCACTTCTGTGCCCAAGCACAGAACTTACATTGCAGAGATACAGAACCTACATCGAGACACCAGGAAGGCCTTTGATGACTGTGACAATGGTGACTATGTAGCATAGTCAGAGACATGACAGAGAAACTGAGGACGGAAAAGTGACTTAACTTGTACTAGATCCTTGGGCTCAGGCCATAAGTGTTGTAAGCCCAGGATGCTCTCTAGGGCTCTTTCCTGCCAGTTGTTGGGCAGGTAGGTGGCTCACATGTAGAATCCTAGCTACTCAAGAGGCTGAGATCTGAGGATCATGGTTCAAAAACAGCCTAGCCAGGAAAGTCCATGAGACTCTTATCTCCAATAAACCACCCAAAAAAGCCATAAATAGAGCTCTGGCTCAAGTGGTAGAACACCAGGCATGAGTGAAAAGAGAGAGCACCCAGGACTTGAGTTCAAACTTCTCACACACACACACACACACACACACACACACACACACACACACACACTAAAATCCTTATGAGCAAGGAGGAATGTGCCCAGGCCCAACTGATGACCCCACTGGTCCCCTTTTCTTGGCGGCCACCACAGGAATCTGGGAAGAGCCCAAGGCCATGGACTGTAGACACACGGGGCCTACTTATGGGGCCCTACCCTCTGGGCCACCTTTTGGGCTTGGGTGACTCTTGCCCACCCATGTATCTCACACCAAGGAAAACTTCAAGGCTAGAAAGCAGCCTGAGGTGCCTCAGGAGCATCTTACTGGTAAAGATGGGGTGAGCCGGTTATCACCCCCAGCTTGGAATTTAGTACCAACTCACTGTCTGGACCCATTCAGCCTCTGCTATCCATGCCTCAATTAAACCCATTCCAGACTAGAAATAACACTAAGAAATCAGAAGCGAGTACCTCCTCTTTGGGACCAGGCATCTTATTCACAAGCCCAAGGACTCAGATAGGTACCCATCTACCTTCAAGCCCAGAATCACCAGTTGGACAACTTTTCCATGAGACTTAGAAAGTCATTGAATGAAGATACATACTATGTTTTGTTTTGTCAGTCATGGGGCTTGAACCCTGGGCCTAGGCACTGTCTCTTAGCTCTTCAGCTCAAGGCTAGCACTCTACCACCTGAGCCACCGCACCACTTCCGGTTTTCTGGTGTTTTATTTGAGGTAAGAGTTTCATGGACTTTACTGCCTGGGCTGGCTTTGAACCTCGATCCTCAGATCTCAGCCTCCTGAGTAGCTAGGATTACAGGAGTGAGCCACCAGTGCCCGGCTAAGATACTATGTTTAAAGCAGTTATTTCAAGAGAGAAACAAGCTTTTGTGTCTCACTGCTCTAAAACTATACCTACCATTATAGTTCTTTAAATACTTGTGACTCTCTGCTAGGCGAAGCTTGCCCTCCCTTCCTCCCTTCCTCCCTTCCTTCCTTCCTTCCTTTCTTTTTCTTTCTTTTTTGTGCTAGTCCTGGGGATTGAACTCAGGGCCTGCATTGATGTCCCTGAGCTTTTTTGCTCAAGGCTGATACTCTACCATACTTGAACCACATTTTGAACCACAACATTTTGCTGGTTAATTTAAAGATAAACGTCTCACAGACTTTCCCTGATTTGGCTTTGAACTGTGATCCTCAGATTCCAGCCTCCTGGGTAGCTAGGATGACAGGCATAAGCCACCAGTACCCAAGCCAAAGCTATTTTCTGAAACAGAAATGTCCAGGATCAAAGAACAAAAGTCTGGATCTTCAGCCCCTGCCTCTCAGTACTGCATATTCAGTAATTCCATGACTAATGTGATACTATGTATCACTCACTGGAATAGTCAGATTAGCCTTCTGTCAACAAAAAGGGTGGCAAAGAATGCATTTATGCCCACAGCCCCAGGACTTTCTGAAGCACCTACTTTGTGACAAGCAGCTCCACCCTAGACCCTGAAGACAAGGCCTCCAGGGCCTGGGTCTGAACCTCCAGGAGTTCAACCAGAAAGATGGAAAAGGCAGTTCTGGGTAATCTGCCTTAGCCTGGTCATCAACCTCAGTTTAGGAAAAGGGGGGGGGGGGGGTTCTGCTACTCAAGAAGGATGAGGGCTTCAGGTGGAAGCCCAATCTTCTCAGCTCTGCTCCTCCATTCAAAGTCTGCACTGGCAAATTTCGTGCCCCAACCTCAGCTGACCAATTCGTAAACTGACCAGAATTATCTTGAAAGATACCTATATATCTGAATGCTTATTTAGTAATGTGAGCCAGGGCCCACAAAATAGGACCTACTTTGGGGGGGGGGGGGGTACTCCCCATCCTCCCCAGATGCACCAAGGTAAGTTCCCGGTTTCCATGGAAGCAGTGAGTTTGACAGGCACTGTTCTGAAGGCTTCGTGTGTTAACCGGCTCACTTTGATTGTGCCCCCCTCCCCCCAAAAAAACTATCCAAAGAGAAGTATAACTGCTCCCATTTTATAGACAGAGGAAACCTGGTGGCCTAACTAGCTGTGTGACCTTGGGGACATCACCAAGGGTGCGGGTCCCAGTCAGGCTCCGAACCAGTCACATTGGAAGAATGAATGAGCCAGAATCCTTCCTGAAGGCCGAGAGAGGGCCACCTCGCTGACGGTGGGGGGGGGGGAGGAGAGGAGGGTCCTGCTTTTCAGAAGTTCAACCTCCTACCCAAGCCCGAGGTTCCCCCCCCTCCCCCCCACCCCACCCCACCCCTAGCTCCAGAGGCCTAAAAGTGGAGTCTCAGCAGCCCGGTCCGCCCGGGGAAGGCGCTGGCACGCGCTGGAGGTGCTGCGTGCCAGCTTCTTCTTCCCCGCGTGGGCCGACCAAGGCGTGCAAGAGCCGGGGGGGGGGGGGGTTCCGGGGCGGGGGTGGGGGAGGTGGGGGGGGAGTACGACTGGCTGTCAGGGAAGCGCATCCCGCAGGAGCGAGCTTGGCCAACACAACCTCGCGAGTCCAGCCTGGCGAGCGCGGCGGGCAGCCGGCCGCAGGGTCCCTACCCAAGCCTTGAGGACAGGTTCGAAGACCAGAGGGCGCCGCCGGGGAAGGTCACCTAGGCGCGCTGGGCCTCCACGCGGTGGCCCATGCCCTTCCGCCCGCAGGTCCACACACCACTTCTCGTTCTCCCCCTCACCCCCAGCGCCTCGCAGCAGCTCCGGGACCTTCGTCCTCGCGATCACCAACCTAGTTAGACCCCCCCAGATCACTCAGCGGCCCGTCCTCCGGGCCTGCGGTGCTCGCGCGGGTGACCCATCCAAGGCCTGGTCGAGCCCGGGCTCCTAAGGCCCTCCAACCCTCGCCCGGTCCTCCCGGCGATCCCCTTTCCCCCTCCCAAGAGCCCGGGTTAGGGCAGGCCACAACCAAGCCCTTTCCAGTGCGCCTACCTCGGAGGCGGTGGAGGCCGGGAGCGCAGCGGCAGCTACGGCGGGGGCTGCGGCGAGGAGGAACGGAGGGCGCGGACCGAGGGCGGGGCGGAGCGCACGGCGGCGGCGCGGACCTGCCCTCCCTCTCCCGCGCGCGCTCGCTCTCCCGGCGTGCTGGGGCTCGGCGAGCTCCGCCCTCGGCTCCGCCCCACACAGCGGCCGGGCCCCCGGGTCCCTCCCTCCCGGTCCCTTCAGCTCCCGCGAGCCCCGGGTCTTAACCTTCGGGGCCGCTCCGCGCCCGCCGCCGATGCGCGCCGGGTCCGGCGGGCGGGGTGTGCGCGTAAAGGGGCTGCGTGCGCCCGGGCACGGGGTGGCCGGAGGCGGGGACTGGCGTGCGCGCGGGTGTCTGCGTGCGTGCTCGGGGACACGCGGGGCCCTGCTGGATACTCCAGCCTGGAGGGGAGCCGTGGACCAAGGAGAGGAGGAGGAGGAGCAGGGAGGGGGGTCTTCCGGGTTGGAAAGGGCGGTGGGCTGGAGGGCCGGGACACCTCCACGCTTTAAAAAAATGGGGGGGGGCATGAGATTCCCCACATTGTACACTGCAAGACTTCCCCGGAATTAATGTGGCTCGATCAGGACAGGGCTGGATGGACAAGGTGTGTCCCTTGGCTCTCACAGGAATGGTTCCATCCATCGGGATTCTCGGGGTTCCAGCTTGGGGGGAGCAGGGGGAGATGGTTAGGACAGTATGGAGATCGTATTCCTCTCTAGCAAAACTCCTAGAGACAGACAGAGAGACAGACAGAGAGAGAGAGAGAGGCTCTCTCACTGTTCAAGGTCACCGCGGGGTCAGCAAATCAACCAGGAGCATCTCCGAGGACCCGCGCCCGGCCAGAGCCGGCCATTCGTGCTGGACTCGGGTTAGTACGCGGCACGTAGACCCGCAACTTTCTCCTCTGCTAGGCCTCTCGGATTCTCCAGTTCACCAATTGAGGTCAAGCATCTGTGCCAGCCCCAACCGCATCAGAGGTTTGAGAATTAATCCATTCCTGGATGGATGAAGACTACCCCCAACCCCATCACCTGCTGACCCAACGTTACGTTCTTCTCCGCTTCAGGCGTTTAAGGACCCGCGAAGGAGGTGCCAAGGTATAGACGCACAACAGCTGTGATTGGTAGAGACAATCGAGGCAGGCTGCTGGATGGAAACGGCAGATTTAAATGGAAAAGAGGTCAACCCGGGTTAGAAAGGGTGTTCCAGTGAGCTGAATGCAGAGAAAGAAGGAAAATGATAAGGGGAGAGAATGCAAATATGAGGTCCTACATCCTGTGTTTGGGGAGGTGCTCAGATTTGCCAAAGCCCCTTCAAGATTGGTGGGGAGTGTGGGGGAGAATGGGCCGTAGATCAGTGCTAAGAGCACTTGCTTAGCATGCAGCAGGCCCTGGGTTTGATTCTCAGCACCAACTACTTAATCCTAAGGAACCTGAAATAGCTGCTCCAGGTCCCTGGCCTGCTCCATTTACTTAGAGACTCCCAGATTTCCAACTGTACACTAAGGCCCAACACACCCCCAGAAAGGAGGGGGCAGGGGAAGCTGCTGAGTCAACTTGAGCTTTCAGTGAGGAGCAGTTTGGGAGGTCAATAGCTTCAGGGCAGGGCAGTTAAAATAAAAACGGGCCCAGGAATCTGTGTCCTAGTTGTAAGGCTAGGAACAGAACGTCCAAAGTCCACCCTGTCCTCCTGTTTCATCCCAACCCCCTTCTAAGACTTAGAAGTTCCCCTCCACTCCCCAACCTCTACCCTTGAGCCCCTTCCCCAGCTGCCCTGGGTACCAACTGTGTCATGTTCTGAGTCACTTACAGTGTGATCTTGAGATATAGATAGATAGATAGATAGATAGATAGATAGATAGATAGATAGATAGATAGATAGATAGATAGATAGATAGATAGATAGATAGATAGATAGATTCAGATCCTTAACTGCAAAGAACAAATCCTCAATAAACTGAGGACCTGGAAGCCCTGGGGTTGGAACTAATTTGGAGTAAGGTGACTCAAAGTGAGTCATCACCGATTTCCCAGCCACACCTCCTGAGGAAGACAGGAAGGCACTCCCTCAGCCACACCCCCACCCAGTCTGCCACAGCTTATTGGGCTAGAGTAAGCACCTCACTCAAGCCTAGCCAATCAAGTCCTCCCTTGCAAATTTGAACTGAGAAACAGTTTCAGTGAGAATGCTGGGAAAGCCTTGGACCTTCCCAAGTCCCTTCTGGCATCTTGAGTCTGCCGGATCTGTTGGCCTAGAGGAGCCAAAGGTGGCATTTCACGAAACCAAGGAAGGATTGCCCTCAGGAGAGAGTGGCTCTGGGCCTATTTCCTGAGTGGCCCCATTTTTCCTGTGTTTTGGTTTCTCTGCGTCATCTCAATATCCAGCTTTAGTTTGTCCCAACTCAGAAGAGTCTCTGAGAAGGATTCAAGTAGAGGTAAATCTTAACTGTGTTTTTCTTTGAGTGAATGATCCTACTTCACCTTACACAAGCTTTGTGGGGGTTAGTGTATGTACACCTATACGTGGACTGGACTGGAATTTGAACATAGGGCCTCTAAACTCTCACTTGGATTTTTTTTCATCTATCGTGGGGCTTGAACTCTGGGCACTGTAAGAGTCTCATGACTTTAATGCCCAGGCTGGCTTTGAACCCCATTCCCAGCTCTCAGCCGCCTAAGTAGCTAGGATTACAAATGGGAGCCACCTGAGACCAGCTTCTCACTTGGATTTTTGTTTGTTCGTTTGTTTTCTCAATGCTAGCACTTTACTACAATGAGCCATAGTTCCACTTCTGGCTTTTTGGTGGTTACTTGGGGATAAGAGTCTCATGGATTGTCCTGTCCAGGCTGGCTTGGAACTGGGATTCTCAGATCTCAGCATCCTGAGTAGCTAGAATAAGAGGAGCCACCCACCAACACCCAGCTCATAACACGACTTCCAAGCATATCATTATTGGTTTGCTCCTGAAGACTTGAGTGCTGGCTGAATTGAGCGAGGCATGAGGATAGGGGACTGGCTCTGACTTGTCCACTCTAAGAGTTCAACACCCAGAAAATAAATGATGAGTAACTCAAAGTAAAGATAAATGTCTGCTCTAGCGTGGCTCCCGTCCCCTCCCTGAGGACTGCACACCTTGGGGGCAGAGGGGAATCAAATGCAGTGGACAGTCAATTCTCCCTTGAAAATCGAGTTCATACCTGTGCAGGCTGGGTACTGTTTACTCTGCCTGTGCATGAGGAAGAATTGAACCTTGCCCAAGCAGAAGCCCAGCTTTTGCCCTTGGCCTCTCTAATCTTGCAGTGGCATGCAAGTGTCTTCATTTTGGATGCAAGCCATTCACAAAAACTAACAAAATGATTTAGGGTGTGAGTAGGACACATAAGATAAGTGAACAGGGCTGGGAAGGTGGCTCAGTGGTAGAGTGCTTGCCTTGCAAGCATGAGGCCCTGGGTTCGATTCCTCAGCACCACATAAGCAAAAAGAAAAAAGCCGGAAGTGGTGCTGTGGCTCAAGTGGTAGAGTGCTAGCCTTGAGCTGAAGTGCTGAGGGACAGTGCCCAGGCCCAGAGTTCAGGCCCCACAACTGGACACACACACACAAAAAAAAGATAAGTGAACAATGTGATTTAGTGTGCCGGCTAGGAATCCAGGCATGATCAGCTGATCCTTGATAGGACTGGAGTCTGAGGTAGCCAGAACAGGTAACCAATGGCAGCCAACCATGAGCCCCTAGTATGGACTGTAAGATAACAAAGCTAGGAGGGGCTTCTCTGGTTGTCAGGGCTCCTTATGTGTGGTCTCTTGTCTTTTCTGGGAGGAGGAGATTTCAGCCCTGGCCCTTCAGGTGAAGACAGCTAAAACTTTCAGCCTCTATGTACCTCCTCTCTTGGCTGATTTCACCTGTGTCCTTTCCCTGGCATAAACTGTGCCCACAGAGATCTCAATGAGTTCCGTGCCTCCTGCTAGGGAGTTATCACATGGCAGGGGGGCCTCGGTGCCCTCAGATTTTACAATTAATAGGAGCACTTAAGCTAGCCTGGATAGAGACCCTGAAACTCTTATCTCCACCAGAAAACTGGAAGTGGAGCTGTGGCTCAAGAGGTAGAGTGCCAGCCTTGAGTAAAGAAGCTGAAGGACAGCTCCCTTACTTTGAGTTCAAGCCCCCATTCCAGCATACACACACACACACACACACACACACACACACACACACTGTGCACATATTCTGACCAAGAAGGCCTGAATTCTGGTTTCTCCAGACACAGATCTTGAGCGTCTAGCTCCCCAAAAGCTACCTCCAGAAGCTGTGGACTGCTTCCTGTCTCACTACCACTCCCTCCCCTCCTCTGACCTGGCTGGAGGGGAGCTCTTTCAGACAGACAGACAACACATCAGCAGCCACACTGGCCACTAAGCTCCAAGTATCTCAGCCTTTGTCCCCACCCCATCGTCTCCTGCTCAGTTGCTCAACTCTGGCATTTCCTGCGGGAGGAAGGACGTCAGGGGATCTCTGAGGTCTCTCTTTGGTCGCACATCTCCCAGTTGCCGGGGAAGAAGTTGTGTGGGGTCCAGACAGCCCTCCTGCCACAGCCTCTGCTCTCTTGCCAAGTTCAGAAGTCTCAGATTCAAATCTAAACTTAGCAACTTTGCTGCCCCGAAGTGACAAATCCTTCCAGATTCTTACGTAAGAAGAAGGCTGGGTCCTCTCAGCCCTCCAGCTCCTCCTTGCTGCTTCCCCTTCATTTTGCCAAAGGCTCCACACAGGAGCCCCAAACAAAAACCACTGTTTTACACACACACACACACACACACACACACACACACACACACAAAGTAAATCTAAATAGATGGAAAGTCTGACTTTGCTTTTATCCAACCCAGGCAGCTCCTGGGTGATTCTGCCCGGCTCCAGGAACAGGCTTCAGTTTTCAGGAGCTTCCCAAGATAAAGCAGATGGACAGATCTTATTTCCCAGGGCTTGCAGAATACTTGTTTCCAAAGCCTTCTAGGAAAAAAAAATCAATATAAAGTCACTAAAATCTTAAGAGATACAAAGTGTCCTTAGAGGGGAGGAGGGAA